ATATGCAGTTTCATAATTGGATTATTATGCTTTTTTGTGTTGAGAAACTGCAAGTTGCTTCTGATGTGAGAAAATTGGCTGTCTGCAAGGATGTTGCCCAGGCGAGGCCCAGACGTTTTACTATCCTTGTGGGAGGCTTCTCGCATGTCCCCAAATGAGGAGCTGGAGCTGACACAGGGAGCTCAACCCACTCTCTCTGGATTTGAATCGCTGAGAGCTGGAGCTGACAGAGGGAGCTCAACCCACTCCCCCTGGATTTGAATCACTGACTTGTTGGTCAGCAGTCCTGCCGGCACAAGGGTTTAACTCAGGGGTCCTCAAACTAAGGCCCGAGGGCCGGATACGACCCTTCAAGGTCATTTACCTGGCCCTCACTCAGGGTCAACCTAAGTCTGAAATGACTTGAAAGCACACAACAACAACAATCCTATTTCATCAGCCAAAAGCAGACCCACACTTCCCATTGAAATACTAATAAGTTTATATTTGTTAAAATTGTTCTTCATTTTAATTATTGTATTGTTTTTAAGTTTACACTACAAATAAGATATGTGCAACGTGCATAGGAATTCAAATTATGTTTTTTACTTTCAAATTGTAATCTGGCCTTCCAACAGTTTGAGGGGTTATGACCTGGCCCTCTGTTTAAAAAGTTTGAGGACCCCTGGTTCAACACAATGTGCAACCGGGGGCTCCATTATTATGCTGATTCCCTATATTTCTGGGGAAGACAAGTGATGGACGTATCCAGCTCATAAAAGTCAGATAGGTCTATAAATCCATAAACCATAATTGTGTGGATAGCACTGTAATAGGAGTGGACTGGGGTAACCTTTCACACAATGCACAACCTTCCTACGGAATCCTGGGTTTTGCAGTTTAGGGAGCAGCATTAAGAATTCTCAGCCAGAGAACTGAGCTGCTGCCTGTGACCAAACTACAACCTCTAGGATTTAATGGGATGTAACCATGGCAGATAATGTAGAATTGTTGGGTCTTTTTACCACTGAAGTGTGCTTTCACTAATATAAGTAAACAAGGGATTGCTCATATAACCCAAGGGTCTGTTCCCTTCCTTCCCTTAATACTACCACCACCACCACCACCACCACTACCATCATCATCATGGATTGTCCCAGGCCTCTGGTTTCAAGACCTAAGTGATGCTGGTATTATTAATAAGCTAATGATGCCAATTTTGGGGTTGATTGTGTAGTGTTTACTCAGTGGATATGAGGCAGAACACAACACAGAAGGTGGAAGGTTAGGGTTACGGCCTGTGTTGGACTGGATTACAATCTCCCTGAAGATGCAGGTTTGCAGCTTGGGAGTGATCCTGTACTCATCACTAAAACTTGTGTGCCAGTTGTGCCAGTACCTTGGGAAGTCTGATCTGGCCATGATGGTCCACGCTCTGGTTACATCCCGAATAGACTACTGCAACGTGCTCTATGTGGGGCTGCCTTTGAGGACTGTTTGGAAACTCTGAGCACTTTTGTGCTCAGAAGTGGACCGGCAACCTGTGAAGCTGATACAGCAGGGGGGGTGATATGTTTCCTGTATGTCACTCCAGTAAGTAACCTGGCTGCCACCCTTTGGACTAATTGGAGTTTCCAAACAGTCCTCAAAGGCAGCCCCACATAGAGCACGTTGGTCTTGCCCTCTAAACCCCTATACAGTTTCGGCCCAGCTTGCCTGTCCAAACCTATCTCCCCCTACGTTCCGCCTCGCAGTTTAAGATCATCCAGGGAGGCCCTGCTCTTGGTCCAGTTAGCCTCGCAAGTGTGCTTGGCATGGATGAGGGACAGGGTCTTCTTGGCGGTGGCCCCACACCTGTGGAACTTGCTCCCCAACGAATTAGGTCGCTGTCTTCTCTCCTTTCTTTCAGGAAGAAAGTTAAATCATGGCTCTGGGACCAGGCCTTTGGTCAGCAGGAATGACAGCACTTTAGATGAGGAATCGGATTGGAATTAGCTATATGGATTGATGACTATGTTTTAATGTGTTTTTAACTTAATGTTCTATTCATTGTTTTAAACTGTTGCTATTTTTCGTTTATATTTCTATTATCTTGTGGCATTGAATTGTTGCTGGGTAATCCGCCCTGATTCCCCCCCCCCCCCCCCCAGTGGTTGAGAAGGGCGGGATAAAAATGATGGAAATAAATAAATAAATAAATAAGATTATAGGTTAGATCACTCATATTCAGCCAATATGCTGACCTATGTCATGTTTGGTCAGAGCTCCATAACTTGACTTGCCAAGCTCTTAAATCATAGTAACATATCCTCTTCCTTTTTTTCTGGCAATTGGTCTTCCTTTGAATGCCTAACTGTAACTATTTTGTATTCATGATCACTCCTTGGTCACAATGTTGATACTATTGCCACAGTCATAACTTACCTATCCACCTATTTTACTGAGCATAAGCTTTATGGAGGGATGGTGACCCATTTCTGCTGCTGATCAGAGAAATTCCATCAGGTTTGGAGATGTTGGGAAAATATTTAAGTATGAGCTGATACAGGATTCTGGCCAGAGTTTTCAAGGGCTGCAAGTTAGGTGTAGCGTAATAGAGCAAATAATGAACTAAACTCAAGATCTAGAGCAGTGTTGCAATTTTAGAATTGTAAAATTAAACACTGAAATCAAACAAATTGTAAATCAAACAAAAAACAGGTTTTGGAAAGATTATCTTTTTTTGGCAGTGCAGAGATTCGCATTATTAAATTGACACCTGAGAGAAACACCCATGTCCCCACTTAAAAATAATTAATATGCAGACATTTCAGCAATTTAACTAATACAATATTCAGTAGAAAACCAAATTTCTCAGTTCATAAAAATCATTAGTGTCATTTAAGACATTTTTTAAAAGTAATGTATTATTTAGGCAACATATCAACACATTAGCAAGGTTCCCACCAGAAAGAATTGTAGGTGTTTATGCTGGCCAGCACCAGGACAATACCAAAAAGACTATGTCTAACTTCATGCAGGGCAAGCTCTCATTAGAGTGAGATTTTTTAAATGTCAGGAGCGACTTGAGAAACTGCAAGTCACTTCTGGTGTGAGAGAATTGGCCATCTGCAAGGACAGTGCCCAGAGGATGCTCGGATGTTTTACCATCCTATGGGAGGCTTCCTTCGTGTCCCCTCATGAGAAGCTGGAGCTGACAGCCAGGAGCTCACCCCGCTCCCAGATTCGAACCACCGACCTTTCGGTCAGCAGTGACTGGCCCCCGGGCCTTAGTTTGAGGACCCCTGGTTTAACCCATTGTGCCACTGGGGGTGAATGAGATGACTACCTCAGCTTTTGAGTGTCACAAAATAGCACAGTGTTCATCCTTTGAAGGACTACTCTATTTTGACAACCAAGAAGAGGAATAACTTGGCTGGCCTTGAGTACTTTCCACTTTGACTTTTGCTACTCCAGGTCAGAGAGCAAAATGTTATAGGCTGAACTTGTGCTCAGGAATGTCATCTTAAGCTGTGTCTGTGATCAAAATAAATCTATAAATTACTTTTATAACAGTTCTGTACATAATTAGAAACAGAGAGTTGGAAGAGACCAAAAGGCCCATCCAGCCCAACCCCTTGTCATACAGGAATACACGATCAATATGTTACAACAGAGTCATGCTGCTCAGCCTACTACATATGTGCCAAAATCTGAGATTGAAAACCTATGTTTTTGGAACAACTGTCAGCTGGAGAATTCTTGGAGTTGTTATCCAAACAATAATTTTCCAAACTAGTGAATGTACAGTGGAGCTCCTTAACCAATGAATGGTGCTAAAAGTGAATTATTAGTATCTTAGGTCATATTTCTGATTGAGAATCAATTGCGTGTTCTCCAGAGCTTCCTCAACAGGCTTTCAAGGAAAGTTCTTCTTTCATGTTTTGAGGATAGATGAAAACAGTAGTTGGAAGCTGTTTTCACACCATTCATGAGCATTCAATTTCTGGTCATTCGTACCAAGTACAACATTCATAGTCTCTGCTTAAACTGTTTTAATTCTGATTTGTAGGCTCTGAAACAAGTTAAATAGTGGAATGATGATTGTTGATGAAACCCCACTTCTGTCCTGAGATCTGCTGAAGGAAAACGGCTCTTTTCAGTTACTACTCTTAATCCTCTCACTTAGCCAGCATGATCCGTGGCCACATTGGCTATCAAATTCTGGGAGAAACTAGTTCTAAAGAAGCAACACTTACATTCTAGCAAGTAACCGATTTGGCAGGTTTGCAACAAAATCCAGCTAAATATTGTGCCAACTGCCTGCTGCGTGTTATGAGAAGAACGCGCCCAAGCCCAGACCCAGAGAACTTTTGCAACGCTGTTCAAAAACAGTTTTGTTTTTCAAGGACGTGAAAGAGCATTTAAATGAACATGCCGTGTTTTTTACCAGAAAGATGGCAAATGGCGGAAAGACAATCTGAAGCATAGGGAGGGGCAATGCGAAGAAATGAATCAGAGGTATTCCTGTGTTTTTCCGATAGCAAAGATGAGGAAGCTACACTCAACCCTCAGTAGGAAAAAAAAGCAGCTGCTCTTTCCATGTTAGGTTTGTACGTATGTGCCCAGAGTCTACCATTCTATCCAAATGCAAGCTTCGGATTAGAGTCTTTAGCAGCATCAATGAGGTTCTTATGAGTTTATGTATCCCCCCATCTTGGAGACACTGAAATGACAGCAAAGTGTCTTGTGACTCAGACCTCAAGGATTCAACTTCTTCCTGGAAGACTGTGAGAAATGTCCCTAAGAGCACCAAAGTAGTTCCATTCGCTTTTATACGGGAGGATCCCAAAGAAGAGCCAAAGTTTCCCATTCGAATGCATCAGTTGAAGTAATTAGACAATTCAACAGCAAATCGATGTTTGTTTGGATTTTGCTTTTTAGTGCTATTCTGGTACTGCTTCCCAGAAACCACATTCAGTACATGAATAGTGTTCATGTTAACTGAATGCCAGAAATAAACAGGCAGGTGCCAATATCCTTCAGTTCAGCATTTGCTTTAGAAACTACCCCGACTTTCCTTCCTCTTGTACAGGCCATGAAGCCTCATTATAGAGGTGTTTATTGTCCTGGCCCTTAAGGTTCTCTTCCTGAACAATAGGCCCTGAAGTCCTCTTGAACCCTCCCACAGTGCTTGCTGGTTCGCAGCTGCTCATGCTGTGAGGCGAATTCATTTCAGCACATTTTTCCTTATACTGGTGCACATTGCCTGCAAATGTCTCACAACGGTTCGGGTTTTCTTCTTGCACAGGGCTTCCCAGACTGTCATCGCTGGATCCAGGAGACATGGATCCCTCTTGGGAGTTCTGGCTGACATAGACCACAATGATCTCCCCTTTAAAATTCATGACCTGTCCACTTGAAATGAAGGTAGAGTTGCCGTTTCCAGTCACATTACCTACAGGGTGTCAGAAGAGAGGGAGAAAGTGTATTATTTTACTTTTGTAATTCCCAGGAATGACATTTTTAGTAAAATCCATGAATAAACAAATCCGAAAACATCAAAACTGCGAATGTGGAGAGATCATTGCCTATTTTATCTTTCTCTTATGAATAGGGATTCATAAGGAATTTTGTGCGTAGCTAATCATGATTAAGATTGAAATATCCATCGTGCTATTTCTGGTCATTTTAAGGAGGAGGAATATACAATCCCATAGGCCAATTCTGATCTCCCAATTACTTTTAAAAGTAGTATCTTTACATTGGGTTCATATCCAGAGATGATACCTGCACAACTTTTTTTTACTAAACTATACCTTTACATTAGCTATGGCAAAAAAAGCAAAACAGTAGGTCAGCCTTTCCCAATTTTATGACAAAACAGTGCAGTAACCTTTGGAAACCCTACCCATGCCCTAAAAAGGTCAAGTGCCTGACTCAATGAAATGATGAACTTTTCAGTAATTATGAAACATTTCATGACATATTTTATGTACCCCAGAGTGCACATTCATTAAGTACATATGGGCAAATAAAAATGACAGAAATAGTTTGGCAGAAATTGACAGGCTACTTACAATGACATTCAGGTCCCTTCTACACCGGCCTTTTTTTCCCCAGGATCCGATCCCAGATTATCTGCTATAAACTGGATTACATGAGTCTCCACTGCCAGATAATCTGGGATCAGATCCAGGGATATAGGGGCAGTGTGGAAAGGGTATCGGAAATAACGGAGAGCAAAAAAAACCAAAAAAAAAAAAAAACCCCAAACCACCACTACCAACAACAACAATAACAAAACAACAAGACAGCATAAACAACAAAAAAAAAAACCTTATCCAGATGCCAAATTAAGTCCCAGGTCAGGTCTGATACTGGCTGATACTAATACCAACAAGTAATGAAATACAATATGACAATATCTGGACCCAGCAGTTCCAAGGTGCATCTATAGAATTAACTGCCATGGTTCAATGCTATGGATGAATGGAATTTGTAATTTGGTGAGGCACCAGCACTCTTTGGCAGAGAAAGCAAAAGACCTTGAAAAACTATATGTCTCGTGATTTTATAGCATTGAGTCATGACAGCTGAAATGGTGTCAAAATACATTATATCTACAGTGAAGATGTACCCTCAGATTCCTGGTCTTCCTTGGTCTACTTTCCTATAAAAGCAGAAAACGGCATGGAAGCTGCAGATTTTTGCTCTGTGTTATGTGCATGAAAATTGCATTCAACGACACAGAGTATCATGGGAGCTTCAATTCTCAATCCAAGGCCAAGCCTCACTAGAGCATCCAGACTTCATAATAATAATAATAATAATAATAATAATAATAATAACAACAACAATAATAACAACAATAATAATCTTTATTTAATACCCCGCCACCATCTCCCCAATGGGGACTCAGGGCGGCTTACATGAGGCCAAGCCCAACAGCATATTACAATAAAGTAAAACCAAAACATAATAACAACACAGTGAAATACATACAACATATTAGTACAAAGACGATAAAGCAAAATCATACACAGTAAAATAAAATAACATAACATAACAATGAGTGGGCTGCATGTGCAAGATAAAAACTAAGATACTAAAAATACTAAAATCAGGATGTGATAAGAATGGAGCAGATTGTTTGTGGGGGAGAAACTTGTAAAGGAATGGGGTCATAAGTACAGACCTTCATGTCATAAATATGGCTCTTCCCTGTTCTCTAACTTCTAAAGCTGGAATACAATGGAATACTAAAGCTTCAATGCAATTTCTGAAAGCAGTAGGAGTTTTTAAAAAACAAAAAAAAACATATATTTAGCATCAGGATGCAAACAGACTTGATCCTTCCAGCTAATTTTTGATATTTAACACACAGCATGCAGTCAATGCGCACATCATTATGAAACAAGCTGTGTTGTTTTTCAGATGTTCCCAAGCGTTCCCACCCAACATATCTGGTTGTGTGGGAACCACCAGGTTACAGAAGGCTGACATATTCCATAATGAGAGATCCTGTTTTGTAAAAAAAGAAACTGTGACTAATGTTCTCATCTGCTCGGTTTGTCACTGGAGTTTGATTGGTGAAGGAATCTGCTTTTTATTCTTCCTCTGCCATTATCACCACAATATTTGGCCAGCCAGAGCCGAAGAATGCCAAAATAGTGGAGGTTTCCTTGCTGGCTGGAGAGAAACCACTGGCACCAACATGTGACCCTGCTGGGTCTAGACCATTTCCAGAATCTTAGAAAAAAATATCCCTGGCTCACCAATGTCATCCTTCAAGTAAGATTAATAAGTAGAGCAAGGCTTTCTCTCCTTCCCACCCCCCAATCTCAATCTCTCTCTCTCTCTCTCTCTCTCTCTCTCTGTGTGTGTGTGTGTGTAAAAACAGTGAAGCAACTACTCCAGGCAGCATCTTCCAGAAGTATTAATATTTTTCTGCCATCAGCTTCCACTTCTATATTTTGCTTTCAAAAAGATGCCATTTTTGACCTCTGGCCATGTTCAAGGCTCACAGTGGCTTCATCAAGCTTGTCTTCCTCCCTCCTGTTCTGCACTGAATTTCAGACACAGCTTGACAGTATAAGAAATATGTGATTACATATAAATAAGCATTGCCATTTTAAAAGAGAGAGAGATTTCTAGGAAGGATCCAGATTGGAAGTGTGGCACAGGGGAAGCCAAATTGTAACTGCTTTCCCCTGCTCCCCTATTCACTGCCTTTGAGTATACACTTTCTACTATAAACATTAAAATTTATTCTAGATACTGGCTTTTTACCATTACAGTAGCAGTGACAATCCCCATAGGCATGGCAATAACAATATCTGATTTGTATTATCCCAAACTATTTCTGGTTCCATTTCTAGCCTCCACTGTGAACGTTACAAATGTCTGCCTTCAAGAGGAAACGCATCCAGGGCGCTTTCATACAGCCCTAAAACCCAAACCGAAACAGGTTAAAATAACCCGCTTCAGCACGGGTTCTAATCTACACCCACCCACCCAATCTCTGGTCTTTTCTGGGGTGGTGGCTACATGCCATCCCAATTGAAACCGGGATGGCATGAAGCCACCCCAAAGCCCCTCATTTCCTTCAGAACATTTACTTGAAAAAGCCCCTTGCCACCATAAAGCCTCTCCTTGCATATTCCTGGCATGGGAAAATGATGGGACATGGAAAAAGGAAAATGCCTTTTCACCATCCCGCCCTGCCCCTCGGTCTCCTTATGCATTATTTTTTTGCACCAGGAGGACATGAGGAGAGGCTTTATGGCAGCTTTAGCGACTTTTTATTGACAAAATATTGAAGACGGAAAAGTTAACCTGTTGTCCATCTGACCACAGTGAATGTTGAAATAACAGCAATTGCAGAAGAACTTTTTGGGAACATGGAAAGGGTTAATAATAATAATAATAATTTTTATTTCTTACCCATCTTTCCTCATGGCTCTAAGTAGGGTGCACCATAATTAAAACACATTCTCATAAAAACGTATTTCTACACATATTAAAATACACAAAACAAAGTTTAAAATACGCCTCTATGGTAGTATGAATTGTGCATCTAGAGTTTACTCTCAAGGGAATAAACCAAACATGGATGTGCCTCTGTAAAAGTCCCTTAAAACATTTGAATGCTGCCAAAAATATAGATGTGGAAATGAGGAGACAGAGAAGACATGACAACAGTAAGAACCAGAACAATGCTTGCGCATAGGAGACTAAATAGTAATGGAATATTACTCCCCATTTCTCATGTGGAACATTCCAAGAGAAGTCCCTTATCATGCATAAGGAAAAAACAATATCTTGGCTTAGTCAGACCAAATTTCTATCCACATGAGCATGCTTCCTAGCTGGAAGCCCAAAGGAAGCCATGATTGCAATCCCTTGTTATATGTTCCTCTGCATCTGATTTCACTGACAATTGGATTAAATGTGGATATTTGATGATAAATATCCAGCTCTAACAATGAAATGGGAAACAAGAAGACCTTTACATATTGGGATGGAAAGAGCTTACCAGATGCCGCCGGGGCATCCGACGTATTGCAGTTCGATTCAGGAATTCTTTTTGCATTCTGCCGCTTTGTGCCATTCCCATCAAAGGAGTCACTTCCGACACCAGAGTTGCTTGCAGAATCAGTCTGATCCAACGAAGGGGAGTCCAAGCCATAGGTGCCCAGTGGAGAAGGGCTACTGTCTTCCAAAGAATTGCCAGCACAGAAATGTTTACTGGGGGATTCTCTACAAGATGCTTTACTGGCAGTGCAGCCACTTGTCTCTCCAGACCTTAAAAGAGCATCACTTATATCCTGCATATCAGCATCCCTACAGGCAGAATGATGGCAAGAGGTTGACAGGCATTTGTGGGAAGATGCCTGGACAGTGTCTGTTCCACAGGAAACGTCTGAGCAACAGCAATATGGAAATTCCATGACGTTTTCTGTTCCCATGAAGCACTGGCTCAAGCTATCATTCTCCCCCACTTCCAATGGCTCAGAGAAACATGAGATAGGCTTGCTTTCAGCTTGGCCAAGTAAAGGTAAGTAATGGGGGCCATGGGAGATTCTGTCCATATACTCATCTTCCATGGGAACCTGCCTGAAGTGGTCATCTTCAGACATGGTTATAAGAGATTGTGTTGGGAAATCTTCACCCAATTCACAGTGGATTGCATCAGGGGCACCTTCTCCATTGACATTATGTTTATGTGGATAAAAGGCATCCTCAGAAAAAGAATATGTGTTTTTCAAAAGCAGAGGACCATCAGGACATGCCACATTTCCATTTACAAAGGTATCACAAGGGGAATCCTGCAAAAGAAAGCAAACAGTTCTTTAATATAAAAAGTAAGCTCTTATTTGATGATGTAACAATTATTTTGAAGGGTCACTGTATCCTCAATTGTCAGTGTAGTCATTGTAGTGTAGTCCAGGGAGAGGCGGATGAGCTCCCTCTATCAGCTCCAGCTCCTCATGCGGGGACATGAGAGAAGCCTCCCACAAGGATGATAAAACACCCAAATCATCTGGGCATCCCCTGGGCAACGTCCTTGCAGACGGCCAACTCTCTCACACCAGAAGCGACTTGCAGTTTCTCAGGTCGCTCCTGACACGACAAAAAAAAATGTAGTGTAGAACTTGGCTTACACTCTATATCAGTGGTTGTCCAACCTTTGGGCCTCCAGGTATTTTGGACTTCAGCTCCCACAGTTCCTAACAGATGGTAAGCTGGCTGAGATTTCTTGGGAGTTGAAGTCTAAAATACCTGGAGGCCCAAAGATTGGGAACCACTGATCTATAAAAACCATATAAACTTAGAAATAGTTTTCTAAGATGTACAGAGACATTCGCTGGAACACCTCAGCAAGCGAGAGTCCAAAAGTGGCAGGCTAAAACCCAGAACCTCAATCAATGGATGATACCAAATGAAAGACTCCCTCCTGGGCACACAGAAAACTGGGCGACTTGGAAGGTGCTGAACAGACTGCGCTCTGGCACCACGAGATGCAGAGTCAACCTTAAGAAATGGGGCTACAAAGTGGAGTCCACAACATGTGAGTGTGGAGAAGAGCAAACCGCAGACCACCTATTACAATGTAGTCTGAGCCCCGCTACATGCACAATGGAGGACCTTCTTACAGCAGCTCTAGAGGCACTCCAAGTGGCCAGCTACTGGTCAAAGGACATTAAATAGAATGCCAAGTTTTCAAACTTTGTGTTTTTTTAAAAAATACAATACAACAGTTTGATTTGCTCCTGATATGATAAATAAATAAATATAAACCATGGGGCAAAAACATGGTAACAGTCTCTGGCACACTGGTGAAAAATTTCTGATTCTCATATAGAATAGATCACACAGGACTTTTTTGTTTGGTTGAAAGGAGCCTAAACGGTCAGCCCCAAAGAAGCTAATGAGGAATACAAAATATTAAGATATTTAAATAATAACTCCATGGATTTCAACAAGGTGCTGAGAAATTTTGGCTATCCATGGCTTAATGCCAGGAAACTCTTTGTAGTTTTCTGTTGCTCATAATCTTGCCCTTCCCTTATGTAGTATGGCAGCTACTGAAGAGCCTTTGACAAGTCTGTGACCTTATTTCACCACTTGGAGTTCAGTAGCTGCCAAGGAAATCAAGAGAGGGAAATAAGAAGCAGTGCAACCCAACATAGAAATAAGTATAGCCTTAGACTTCACCTTTGTCCCTTTTATTTGTCTGCATACCACATGAGCCCAGTACTGCAAATCTGCTGGTGAGAGAAACAAAGATAAACATTAATTAGATTTGGGTGCACTCTATGTGAATCAGAAACGAAACCATACATCAAATAACCTGTTTTGCAAATCAGTTTTGCCACAGAAGTTTGGGGTTCAAAGGATGCTTGGCTCTGTGAAAGTGATTAATTCACAGCTGACTGAAGCAATTCATACAGTATCACAGTGACCACACAGAAGGCACATCCCCACAACATTTGGGCAAGGAATCAAATTGATACCTATGTAGGAGGCCAATGATATTAGACTCCTGCTTAATTTAGCAATGATCAGCTGGAAATAAACTATATGATTGACCTCACTATTGAACAATACTTGAACAGTGAGGGAGTCTACGGATTATAACATACTAGCCGTTCCCTGCCACGTATTCCTGTAGCCAATCTGGTGATCTGGAAAATGAGAAAGTGTTGGTTTCTAATATATGTAATTTCTTTATGCTTGTGGGTAAACAATATTTCTTGTGGTTTCTTTGTCAGTGTTGATGTAGAGATTGTCTGGTTTGCCTGCTCTGGAACATGCAACATATAGTTGTCCTTCTTTAGGGGTCTCTTTCAAATCTATGATCCTATATCTGTCATATACATGTGTATGTGTGTAAATCATATATATCGATTTATATCTATGGCTGGGTGGCTCTTTGTCAAGAGGGCTTTGATTATGTTTTCTTGCTCTGGTGAAGGGAGATTGACTGGATGGCCTTAAGGCAGCATTTCTCAACCTAGGGGGTCACAAGGCGATGTCTGAAGGGTTGCCAAAGACCACCAGACAACACAGTATTTTCTGTTGGTCATAGGAGTTCTGTGTGGGAAGTTTGGCCTAATTCTCTTGTTTGTGAGGTTCAGAATGGTCTTTGATTGTAGGTGAACTATAAATCCCAGTAACTACAACTCCCAAATGTTAATGTCTACTTCCCACAAACTCCATCTGTGTCCATATTTGGGCATATGGAGTATTCATGCCAAGTTTGGTCTAGATCCTTCATTGTCTGAGTCCACAGTGCTCTCTAGATATAGGTGAACTACAATTCCAAAACTCAAGGTCAATGCCCACCAAACCTTTCCAGTATTTTCTATTGGTCATGGGAATTATGTGTGCCAAGTTTGGTTCAATTCCATTGTTGAGGGAGTACAGAATGAACTTTGATTGTAGGTTAACTATAAATCCCAGCAACTGCAACTCCCAAATGACAAAAAAATTTTTTTTGAGTGATGGTCACTCCTTGGGTTAGTAGGTGTCTTGTGGCCAAATTTGGTGGCAATTCGTCAAGTGGTTTTTGAGTTATGATGTCACTCAAAACGAACAGATCATTTATATGTAGATAGATCGATTGATTATAGACAAAATCTATTCTTAAACCAGTGACCATAATATATCACACTTAAACACACGTGGGAGAAATGATTACCTTGATTTACTCAAGGGACACAATTTTTATTTTTAACAGGGCACTAAATACAGTATTTAATTCTCTAAATGCAGTTGGGCTGGATTTCCTTGTTTTAATTTCCCCTTCTAAACATTCACATCTTCTACAAGGGCTTGTGTTAAAATATTCTCTAACAGGACCTCCCCCACTCCAGCAGTCTAAATGGAAGATATGTCTTTCTGGAGAATCAATGACTAAAATAGAATCTTCCACATCAGCTTTGTCTTCATTCCATCTCATGTGGCATTAGGCTATGACTGACCACTTAATGATCTAGGCCTGTGCCTGTGATTGGTTGGTTAGTTTGTTACAAGACAGATCACATGAATTGCCAAAGGAACAATTATATTTAGCCCTGGGAAGACATGGAAGAAATACACACAATGTTCAATACAATAATATAATTGACTTCATTGAAAACGATAGTATTTCCATAGTTTATGTATTTTTCTACGGGGGAAAAACAAGTGCATAAAGAACATCTCCCAAGCATTAAAAAAACCCCTTAAAGACACAAGAGCAGTAGCAATTACTTTTGACAACTTGGCCATTATATTTATTTATTTATTTACGACATTTATATGCTGCTCTTCTCACCCTGAAAGGGACTCAGAGCAGCTTACAAGTTGTATGTACATACAATATATTATATTATTAGCATAGCACAATATTAGTAGCATATATTCCCATATTGTACTATACCACTATAGTGTAATATTATTAGTAATATTATATGTAATATAAAATATATAATTATTATATTGTATTATCAGCGCTGCCTCCGGAAAATCCTGCAAATCTCTTGGGAAGACAGGCGGACAAACGTCAGCGTGCTGGAAGAAGCAAAGACCACCAGCATTGAAGCGATGGTCCTCCGCCATCAACTCCGCTGGACCGGCCATGTTGTCCAGATGCCTGACCACCGTCTCCCAAAGCAGTTGTTCTACTCCGAACTCAAGAACGGAAAATGGAATGTTGGAGGACAGGAAAAGAGATTTAAAGATGGGCTCAAAGCCAACCTTAAAACTCTGGCATAGACACTGAGAACTGGGAAGCCCTGGCCCTTGAGCGCTCCAGCTGGAGGTCAGCTGTGACCAGCAGTGCTGCAGAATTTGAAGAGGCATGAATGGAGGGCAAAAAAGAGAAACGTGCCAAGAGGAAGGCGCGTCAAGCCAACCCCGACCGAGACTGCCTTCCACCTGGAAACCAATGCCCTCACTGCGGAAGAAGATGCAGAGCAAGAATAGGGCTCCACAGCCACATACGGACCCACAAGAATACTGGAAGACAATCCTCCTCGGAAAATGAGGGATCGCCTAAGTCAAGTATTAGATTGTATTACATTATAACATTAATATCTTGGATTCCCTGGCCATCTCATTGTCTGGTTATGATGGGCTGGGGAACGACTTGTGAGGTGGGGAAATCAGGTTTGTTAAAACATTGTTTCTTTTTCAGAAGTATTACTGAGGCAGTTCTAACCATAGCAGATTAATTCACTTAAAAATATTTCATTACATTTCAAAATATTAATTATGTAAATTGCACTTAATCGGAAAAAAGAAAATGCACCGATATAGGATGGGTGACAACCACCCATGTGAAAGGGATCTAGGAGTCTTAGGCCCCTTCTACACTGTCATATAAAATTCAGATTTGTTGTTTTTTGCAAGCTAATGTTATTTATCAGCGAATGGCTCTCAAACACGGAATGACAGGTATAAAGAGGGAGCCCCCGGTGGTGCAATGGGTTAAACCCTTGTGCCAGCAGGACTGCTGACCAAAAGGTCAGCGGTTCAGATCCAGGGAGCAGGATGTCAGCTCCAGCTTCCTATGTGGGGACATGAAATAAGCTTCCGACTGGATGGTAAAACATCCAGGCACCCCTTGGGCAATGCCAATTCTCTCATACCAGAAGTGACTTGACACGGGGAAAAAAAAGGTATAAAGAGAAGAAATCTAGACCAGAGATCCCTGATCTGAATTTGATTTGAAGTAAGGACTATTATTGTTTTCCACTCCATCTAAAGGACATTTTATGGAGAGTAGTACAGTTTTACAGAGCTGGCCACAAAACCACTTAAACCAGCCTGACATGCTTTTAGGTTGAGTCACAATCTCAGCCTAATTCACAACTCAGTAAAATCAAAGCCTATTTTGTCCAACTGAAGTTAGTGGAAGGAAACCAACTTAAATTGTAGTAGTTCATCTTCAGCGAATGACAACATCAATGGTAAGCAGAAGTGAAATGAATGAATCAAGGGATGAGCCTGATGAAAGCCAATACTCTTGATCTAGCCACTTCTGAGAAATGTGTGAACAGGGGTACACACAACTGTGGCGAGAAGACTACTAATTTAACTCATTAAAATTGATTGCAAATGAAATGAATGTGATATTCATCAATCATTGATGAGTTGTTAGCTCTTCAGAAGAATTAAAAACTCATTAAGTGAATATTCTCTGTAGTGATATATATCCACTAGTATTCATGCAAGGCAAATAAGGTTTCTCAATTGTTAGACTGATAATCCTGGTTATCTCTTTGAACTGTTAGGAACAAAGATTATGCCAATGCACAAAAATATAGCAGATTCTCAGAAGTGTTGTTTCAGTTGCTCAAAAACATCTACTCTCCCAGAAAATATATTTGGTTTTAAATCATGCTCTCAAGAGACAAAATAAGTAATCTTCATGAAAAGCAACATAGTCGATTTACTTACAAACTTCATGTATTCAGCATACAGGTACATTGCTTGTCAATCTAGCTACAGATAGGTATGAGATTGTTTCTCTGTGCAGATAACACAGTGTATCTTTCTTACAATCAACAGCAACATGAGTTTGCTATCAGCAGCCCAAAAATATGGCGTATTTTCAGTCTGAGAGTCTCATGTCTAATGCATAACCAATGTAATGCTAAATAAACACACTGATTTCTAAAATGGAATCTCAGTCTGAATAGTTCCAGATCTGATCACATGGTCTGCAGTCCCTCCCATAGCCTCAAACAACATAGAGTTAAGGGAAAACTGCATACCAATACACACATATACAATATAGTAAGCAATCTGAATTATATACATAACAAATAACTAGTATAGGAGGCTTGTAGAAGGTTGCTATTTCCAACAGGCATTTGTAGATCCTTGTATGATCAACTTCCAATGTCAAAGTTACACCGGATGATACAAAAATTCCCAGAGAGGTATTCTCTCAGGTTTTTTTAAAAATAGCATTTTTTCACTGTTTTCCCATTTTTTTCAGGTAGCCTGTGCCTCCAACCCCTAAAAAATTAGGCGGCTTACATTTTGCATGATAAGTTTAGCTAAACTGGTTTTTGAGAAGACTTTCAAGGATGAAAGTTTCAAGAAGTCCTTAGCTAGATCAATTAAATTATGCTAAAATGCAGTCATGCGGGCCACATGACCTTGGAGATGTCTATGGACAAAGCTGGCTCTTCAGCTTAGAAATGGAGATGAGCACCAACCCCCAGAGTCGGCCATGAATGGACTTAATGTCAGGGGGAAACCTTTACCATTACCTAAAATACAGAAACTGGACAGTACACCAAAATCAATTTAAGGACTAGTGTAGATATTTCTATTTAGGAATTTGGACATGCACATGTGATTTAGACAGAAAATGCACATCTATCAAATAGCTTTCATAATAAGACAAGATAATATGAGATGCTACGTACCTGTTAGTGTTTTCCCCTTTTTGTGATAGTATCTCACGAGGAGAACAATGCCAACCAAAGCAACAAGGAAGAATGAAGCAATCACTATATAAAGTAATGTGTTGGAATCTGGAAAATAAACATACAGTATCTGAGCAGCTAGATTTAAAATTCAAGTGTAGATAATGGATTATATCACATTTTAACAAATATTATTTTGTAAAAGAAATTAAACGGCAGGGCAGTGGTTGGTGCACTCCTTTTTATTAAGCTTCATTAGATTTCAACAAGGACAAATGTAAAATATTGTTTATATGTAAGTTATATAATTTTTGTTCTGTTTTATTTGCTTGCTGTTTTGTTTTTACTGATGTATTGTTGGGCTTGGCCTCATGTAAGCCGCCCTGAGTCCCACTGGGGAGATGGTGGCGGGGTATAAATAAATAAATAATAACAATAATAATAATAATAATAATAATAATAATAATTATTATTATTATTAATAATAATAATACTCCGTTTAGGCAGAAAAAATGAAATGCAAAGATACAGAATGTGTGACACCTCGATGGACATCTGTCCATGTGAAAAAGATCTTGAGTCTTTGTGAACAACAAGTGGAACACGAGCAAACAGTGTGATGCAGGAGCAAAAAAAGCCAATGGGATTTTGGGCTGGATCAAAAGGAATATAGTGTCTAGATTGAGGAATGTCATTGTGCCTTTGTATTCTGCTTTGATTAGACCTTGCCTAGAATACTGTGACCACAGTCTAAAAGAGATACTGACAAGCTGGAGGATGTCCAAAGAAGGGCAACTAAAATTATCAAAGGTCTGGAGACCATGTCCTATATTGAGCCTCTTAAAGAACTAGGCAAATTTAGCCTACAGAAGAGAAAGTTGAGAGGAGACATGATCGCCATGTATAACTATGTGAAAGGGTGTCATAAGGAAGAGGGAGCATGCTTGTTTTCTGTTGCCCTTGAAACTAGGACTCAGAGCAATGGGTTCAAATTACAGGAAAGGAGATTCCACCTGAACATTAGGAATAACTTCCTGACCTTATGAGCTGTTCAACAGTGGAACTCTCTAGCTCAGAGTGTGGTGCAAGGTCCTTCCTTGGAAATTTTTAAACAGAAGTTGGATGACCATCTGTCAGGGGAACTTTGATTGTGCTTTTCCTGCGTGGCAGGTGGTTGAACTGAATGGCCCATGTGGTCTCTTCCAAATCTAATTATTCTATGATTACATGAATGTGCATAGAGAAAATCTATAAGCTTGCATTATTATTAAGGGTTCATGGAAAAACAAAAAGTGATCTGCTTTGTATAAGTCCTGTCTTGATTAGAATGGTAAGAGAGGTCACGTTACACTATGTAACAAAATTTGAAAAACAAAATCTGTTTCTGGTTTAAAAGTGTTATTTAACTTCAACCTGATAAACGTTTTTTTGCTTAAACATCATCTGCTGCTACTGCCTCATCAGTGCTTGTGTATAATTATATTTACCATCTTGTGCATGTGGTTTCAAATGCTGCCTACAAACTGCATCAGACCAGCTGTTCCCAGGCATCTTTTCCTCAGTTCCCAGAGCTGTGCAGCTGCAGAAAGCATGAAAAAAGGAAAACATAAGAATAAATTGAGAGAGAGAGAGAGAGAGAGTACATTTAACATTCACTGAACCTGTCAGTGGTCTAAACATTGTGACTAGAGTAGCCAACCTGAAAACTTAGCTAAATGTCAGCTGGTGGATTCCATTAAAAGATACTGACAAACTAGAATGTGCTTTGGATTCCAATCTGAACTTTAGAGACACTATCCAACTTGCTGAACTCTGGTCCCCAAATTTGGTTCAGTATCTTTGAACTAAATCCCTGAGCAGGTTTTCTTTTCCACTGCCAATGGATGCTTAATAATATGGCTATGAGAGAACCTGAATGTGGAGTGTCTGAATGTGGTTCTATCATGATGATGATGATGATGATGCATACTGCATATATTTTATTTGTAGTGCAAAAAAACCACAACACTTTAAAACAATACAATAATTAAAATGAAGAACAATTTTAACAAATATAAACTTATTAGTATTTCAATGGGAAGTGTGGGCCTGCTTTTGGCTGATGAGATAGGAATGTTGTTGTTGTTATGTGCTTTCAAGTTGTTTTAGACTTGGGTTGATCCTGAGCCAGGGCTGGGTAAATGACCTTGGAGGGCCGTATCTGGCCCCTCGGCCTTAGTTTGAGGACCCCTGATTTAGATAGGTGCTACAAAAAAGAAAGAATAAGGTGAATAGTGGCCACGTTATGTCTTCAGTTTTTTTATTGTACTGTAGTTGTTTATATGCTGATAGCATCATATGATGCTTACGTGAGGCTGCCCTGAGTCCCCCTTCGGGGGGAGAAGGGCGGGGTAGAAATGCATGAAATAAATAAATAATAAATAAATAATACATTTGGTCAAGTTCTGCGAGAGAATTATAAATATATATGCCAAACTTGTTCCACTGACTGGAATAAAAGGTGAGATGATTTATTTATTTATTTATCGTGTCAGGGCAACCAGTCAATTATATTACATTTCTAACGGAACAAAGCAAACAAACAGACAAAATACAAAATTTGTGATGGGATGATGAATTAAGTGCATTTTCCACAACTAACTTTGTGGAAAAAAACACAGATAGTTTGACTTTAAGTTGATCATGATGGGTATATACAGCAAGTTTGGTCTAAATCCATCATTAGTGAGATTCATCCAGGTCTCTACTGGACTACAACTCCCATCATCTCCTCTATCAGTCCCTCACCCCAAACCCAAAATTATTTTAAGTTGAATCATGATGGGCATGTATGTCAATTCTGGTTGAGATCCATAAAACCATGTCAGACCCCATGTAAATACATTTTGACTTATATATAGATAGATAGGTAATGGTCTGTGACTTACTTAGTCCACATTTTGCATGCATCAGTCGCAGAAGAAACATTAGAAAAGTATCCTACAGGACATGGTGTGCACACTGTGTCCTTGTTTTGTTGTACTGTAAGAAACAGAATGAAAAAATCATAAGTAAAGCAGTCTAGGAAGAGAAGCAGTTTTAGTGGATGACAAAGATCTTTTCTGCATAGGAGCAAGTGTAACACCTTCTGTTTATTTTGCTTATTTAATCATTCCTCCAACCACCTTTCCATCCCAGGAATTGCTCCATCAGTTGTTCCCCATCTGTGATCCAGGGCGTACGTCATGCAATGCTAAACCTAATGCCAGGTATAGTCATACAATACTAATAATACTAATACTAATATATTTTATTTGTTACCTGCCTCTCCTAATGGCTCCTAATATAATTGTAGTGGTGGAGTTCATGCTATTGCAAGTTGTCCATATACTCTTGAGTTTTAGCCTGAACTAGGCAAGGAACTCATGTTTTTAGCAACTTTCATCCCTACAGAGGTTCAGCACATTGGATAGTTCCTTAAGTGCTTAGTCTAAAACTCAGGGCAAATTCACTGCATATGGACATGGGAGTCATCAGCCACTATTGATCTGATGCAGATTCTACTAGAACATCAAAAGGACATTAGAGGTTCAATTTGTATGACTCGTGCAGTATAGAACATATAGGCTCTGTTCCCAAGTTACCGGGTTTATTTATTTATTTATTTACATTATTTCTATCCCACCCATATCAGCCCGAAGGCGACTCGGGGCGGTACCGAAGGCGACTCAGGGTGTCCTGTAAACACCAAGGCCAAATGTTAATAACATCCTATGATGATGATTATTATTATTAGATACACAACAAGATTAGTACACAGCAAACAAAATCACTATGCTGGCTTTTGTATTCAATCGCATGTCAGTCACTTCTCAAGTGTCTAGGACTGTGTGATGTATCGGTGAATAATGCATGCAGATCTGAGCATGGTGGCCTTTTGTAGACAACAGATGGTAATTTTGTCAGTGCTAATTGTTTTTAAGTGCAGACCAAGGTATTTAGGCACTGCACCCAATATACCGATCACCACTGGGACCAGCTTTACTGGCTTGTGCCAGGGTCTTTGCAGTTCTATCTTTAAATCCTTGTATTGTGTAAGCTTTTTAATTTGCTTCTCATCAATTCTGCTGTCACCTGGGATGATGATGATGATGATGATTATTATTATTATTATTATTATGTTTATTTATATCCCACTTTTTTCTCTCCACAAGGAGACTCAAAGCAGCCTATTAGTGGAAATGCAAAAATTATTTTGTGTAGCACGCCCTACTGTTCTCAAAGTTACTGGGATGGGATATGGGTCAGACATGTGTGGTTCGTCCCAATATAATCTCAGCAATCCATCTGTTATTGACTTGTGGGCATCACAGACCAGCAAATCCATTAACTAGCCATGGGGATCCATAGTGTTGCCCTTAGGCAGAACTGCTCAGAATTGCTACCTGTTCTGAGGGAATGATGGACTACATTAGTTAAAAAGACTGTGATGCTTCCTTTGCTGTATACCATTTATCACAAATAAAACACCTTCTTGCAGCAGAGATAATTTCAGCACCAAATGAAGCCGTGAAGAAGCTGCAACTGCAGTCAGTTCCAGCTCAGAACATGCAGTGTGTCCTGGGCTGGTCTGCTGCGTACTCTTGACATCCACTATGCAAAGAGGTCCACAGGATCAGCAATCATATTTTGATACTGGCTATTTATTTCTGCAGTAGAGTTGTAGAAAAGAATGGACACAACCTAAACACTTTAAAAATCCCAAACCAAATCACTTTCCCAGAGATGTTAGACAAAGCAATATCTCACTAGGATGTTTAACTCCAGAACCCCGGGGACATTTTCTGTTTCTTCGACAGCAGTCACAGTCTTCATTCCAATGATAACCAGCAGTGCAGGCACACTGTCGCTGGGATGTGCTGTTTCCTGGATTTACTTCTATTAAAGCTTTCCCTTTAGGTGAAAGAAAAAAAGAAGAAGAAAATGGCATGGAAGTTAAGACCACATGTATGCTTTTCCTCAGGGTAATGGTGCTCTAGGTTAGTTGAGTTGTTGATATATATTTTATTTATTTATTTATTTATTTCCATCACTTTTACCCCGCCCTTCTCACCCCCAAGGGGGGGACTCAGGGCGGCTTACAGAGGAAGGCACAATTCGATGCCTTTGTCACATATACATATATATATATAAGCAAATTAAACAATTACACATTAAAAAATCATCAATACACAATAATACAATAACACAGTAGTAGACTAATCCTGAGCTCAGCGTTCGGAGTTTTGTAAATCCATTCCGTCTCATCAATTCCAGCTCGTCATCAGTCTTTCTTTAGCTGCCAGAAAGTCCAAATGCCTGGTCCCATATCCAGGTTTTACTTTTTCCTAAATGAAAGAAGGGACGTTGCCGATCTAATTTCCCCGGGGAGTGAATTCCACAGGTGGGGGCCACCACTGATAAGGCCCTGTCCCTCGTCCCCGCCATCTCACTTGTGATAAAGGCAGGGCCGAGAGCAGGGCCTCCCCAAGATCTTAGATGGGACATAGAAGGAGATACGTTTGGACAGATACGGACAGGTAATAATAATAACAAAAGTGGTGCATATATCAGTGCTTCTGTTCTCTAGGCATGCATTTCTCCTGTTTTTCTCTATGTCTTCTGGTACTCATCTCTGTAGACTATCTATTCGTTTATTATTTGTTTATTTCTCTATCGGGAGTGTATTGGTTTTTGTTGAAGCCTCCTAGAGGTCATCACAATCGCCGGGGCGACGATGACGCGCCGGAGATGGAGGTTGCTAGTCTC